TTGCTGACAGAGTGGCTGGAAAGTAGAGAGGCACCACTGGAGTATGGAAACTCGACCTATGACCTGGTGATGATGTGAAGAGGCCTTTGCTCGTTACCCTGGAACCATCCTGAGAGGGGGTGCAGACGCCTCACCCCGGCTACCCCCGTGGTGTCCGGCACTGCCCACTTACCCTGGCTACCCCCGTGGTGTCCGGCACTTCCCACTCGCCCTGGTTACCCACATGGTGCTCACACTGCCCACTCTGCACCCAAGCCCGGAGGCCCCAGTGCTGCTCTGCACTCTCGTTCTGCCAGGGACTCCTTGACTAGCTGACTTCTCCCCCTCCTGCACCCCACACTTACTATCCTCCAGCAAGAGCATGACCTTCCTGACCACCAGTTGCAAGTCAGAGTCATGCTAGGTGTGGTGAACAGAGTGTCCCTGACCTCCAGGGCTCATGGCTAGTGTGTGGGTGACATGGACATATGCAGAAGAGTCATGAGCAGCTCTGGAAGAGACAGAGCTCAGCTTAGGTCTGAACAGGCCTCCTGTGCGGGGAGCCCCCTGGGTGTGGAGGACTATCTGTGTGCTGCTCCCACCTGTGCAGGGAGCTGTACTAGCAATGAGCAGGACCCTGGGGCAGACAGGCCAGTGGGTGGCTGGGACACTGGGAGTCACACATTGCCAGGCCATCTTGGCCCAGCATCTCAGGACACATGGAGAAGAACAGTCAGCCAGGAGCAGCATGTGTCCAGAGGAGAGGACTAGTCCCTTGACTGCCAGGAGCTGAGGGCAGACGGCCCTTCAGCTGTGAGTGACTATAGGGATTGTCCCAGCCCCTTCCCAGGTGACCACAGTCAGTGAATGATGGTGGGTGGTACAAAGCCCAGTCTTATCACTGCAGCCCAGAACTCCAGAGGAGAGTTGGCCGAGACCTTGGTGGGCTGTCTGTCTGTCTCAGTATGAACTGCCTCCTTTCCTGGACTGTTCATAGCTCCAGCCTTGTTATCTTTGGCAAAAAATGAATTCCATGATCTTCTGGGCAACCTGCAAGTCACAGGCGACAAGAGTGCCTGGCCCGCAAACCAGAATCCCCTGACCTGCTCTGCCCTGCGCCGGGAAGGCAGCAGCTGCCTCAGCAGTGGTTACAGACCACATCTGTCTTTTAGTTGGCAGTGTCAAAAGAATTTATTTCAAATCTGCTTAAGACTGTGGTAAAACTCAAGTTTTTCAAAAGGTAATACAGAAAGTCCAACCAACCCCCAAAGACCAGAAAACACAGTGTTTGCAATTCAAAAAATACAAACGCTTGTGGATACCAATACAAAAACTAGAAAAAATCACTTTCCTTGCCATGCCCACCCTCCCTGTTTTCAGTGGAATGTGAACAGCCACAGGACTAAGAGCTGCCACCAGACTCCAACCACTGGGGATAAAAAGTAATGTGGAGTGGGGGAGCAGAGAGTGGGGACAGGAAGTGACGTGGAGTTGGGGAGCAGGGAGTAGGGCAAGGACAGGCAGGGAATGGAAGTTCTGTCGACAGCCAAAACAAGGACACACAGCTTTTTGCTTCTTGTTAAATTCCTTTGCCAAAGTCAAACAAACACCTCTCATGCTCAACAGACAGCTTGGTGCGAAGGCAGCACCTCTACATCATGCATTGCGTGTCCTCTTCGCCTGCCCCTCCTCTCAATGCTGAGCAAACAGGGCTGGGGACTCCAGCCCACGGACAGGGTGCTGAAAGGCTGGCCTGTACTGGCTCCGCGTCCCCTTCCACAGCCGCCAGCGGCCCCTTTTCCACCCTGAAGTCTGTTTCTGGCCTCTCCTCAGGGCCTGTCTTGCTGCCACAAGCTCCTGGGCCTCCCCAGGACTAGGTTAGCAGCTATGCCCTCCGTGAGCTGTGCCCTTGAGAGAAGAGTGTCGCATTCAGATGAGACTTACCTGGAGTCAATATCATTCATTGCAAAGTTGGGGACCTCCCTGTCCCCCACTTAATCATATAGCTCAGGCCAATGCAGTTCTAGCCATCTGCAGGGGTCTGAAAGCAACCTGTGTCCAGTCAGCTCTTCCAGCCCACGCAGCCATGGCCCTGGTCACACTGTCCCGTGGCCGCAAAGCCATTCTATGCAGAGCACTGGAGACAGAGGAGAGGCAGTGGATTGGCCCTGCTCATAGACCTCGCCACTGAGGAGGCAGGAAGTCAGGCTGTGGCCTTCCTGGCCTAAGGGGGCCTCTGCCTGCCTGCAGCACTAACCTGGAGACTGCTCACGGCTTTGAGCAGAGAACCACTAACAGTCTGGTCACAGAAAACCTGTCCTGCATGCCTCTTACCCTCTCCAGGCCAGGTAGCTGTGTGACCAGTACTCAACCCTGTCACAAGGAGGCATGGGTGGAAGACTGAAGTCGGAGCATGCTGGAAAATCACCACCCAGGTTTGGTCCGTCGAATGTGGGCCATTATCCCAGGCTGCAGAGGTAAGACTGCACGTCCTTTAAAAGGTGCTCCTCCATTATCGTCAGCACAGCAGAGGAGGTAGGGTAGCATGACCAGTCCCATTTTCAGGCAGGGATTCTGAGGCACGAAAGATAAGAGATTTGCCCCCACCCATGCTATAAACCAATATCAAAAGTCTGGTCAAGAGAAATGAGCTCTGAGGGCTGCAGTTGTGTCTGACCCACGCATCCTGCCCCAAGCTCACCAGTCTCTCTGCAGCCCATCAACCTAAGCTTCCAGGAGGACCTGCTGAGGAAGACCATCAGTGACAACAGCTGCAGGCTCAATGCAAAAGGAAAATCCTGAGATTTCCCAGGATCCGCACAGACTCCAATATTCGTCTCCTGATAACATCTATTAGATATTTTTTTAAAGCCACTGACCCATTAAGAAGTCCCTGTTGCTTCTGGTAACATGTGACCAAGGAAAAAGAAAGAGCTTTTCCTTCTAGACTTGAAGTTGGGGCTGGTGAGCATCTAAAGTGAGCAAAACAGAGACCTGCTAGGTTAGCCGCTGTCTGTGGCACTCCACTCCCCACCGCTCCCACTGAAGACCAAAGGAGAATCCAGGTCAGCAGCTTTGTGGTGTAGGCATTCTGTTTGACATGGAAGTGGGTACTACTCTGAATATCCAATAGCATAACCTAGTAGTCCTCAGGTGCAGGCGGCCCCCAGGGGACACTTGGCAGCATCTCTAGGTAGCTGTGGTTGTCAGCTACCTGGAGGTTGCTGCTGGCACCTAGTAGGAGACCCCAGGGGTGCAACCTTGCCCCAAAACGTCCAGGGTGAGACACCCTGGCATCACCCCACAGCCTGGTGATGGTGATGGTGTTTGGCAGCCTCTAGCTGAGACCCCAGAGGTATTCACTACCCTCCCAACCTCTTGCTGCAGGTGGCTCTGGGACTGCAGCCCATGGGCGAGCCGCCCACCATCTTCACTGAAGCCTCCTGTGTAGGAGGTCAAGCCTTTACTTTCGATTAGAATTAAGGCTTTGTCTCACGTGTCCCCATAGGAAGCACAACAGGTCCTGCCCTCTGATCCTGGTCTGAGTGTCCTGATAGGACAGGGGCACCATGAGGGGGAGAGAGGGATGGCCTGCTCTTCTCTGGGGGAGCTCCACAGTGTTTCCCAGGCTTATTCTTGGAAGTATGACCCTCCCCAACTGGGTGGGGGGTCATAGGGCACCTAAGGGTATTATTGCAACTACAAAGTACATACAGGGCTGGAGATGCAGCCGAACATACGGTTACATGGGCAGGAAAGAAGGCTGGGACGGGAGAAAGGTGGAGTAGAATATGGCCTTCCGTTGCCTCGAAGCAGGAGCCAGGATGCTCTGTGAGGTGAGGTGCTGATGGACACCTGTGAGAGGAAAGGCATACAGACTGCCTCATTCCACGTCGTAGGCTGCTCCATGGGTTGGTCTGCCCAGCCCAGCCTTGTCTTGATGCCATTTACATACAGGAATGTCACCGCATTGCAAGATGGTAGGAAATTCAATGGCAGATGAGAATCCCACCAACTGTCTTTTCTTCCCAAATGCCAGGCCTTCCCACCTTGATGAGTTGATAAGTTCCTTCTTCACTGTTCTGATCCCTCAAAAACAGTGTGGGCAGCCTCCCTTTTCTTCTGAGTCCATTCTAGTCCCTGAAAGCAGGGGAGTGGCTGTGGGGCTGCCTGGCACCAGCTGTATTGCTCCTGGCAAGTAAGAAAGGGAGACACCCCAGCCCCTCCCATCATTGGGGGCAGAAGTCCTGGCTGCTTCAGTGATTTCAGAAAATGTCTTCTTAAAGATACTACCTGGAGGGCTGGGGTATAGCTCAGTGGTAGAACACTGGCCTCGCATGCTCTGCACCCTGGGTTTGATCCCCGGGCAGGAGAGGAGTAGGCCACCTGCAGGTATGGGCATGCCATTCTGCATTTCCGCATCTCCTCTGGCCTGGCTGCAGGCCCCCCTGAGTTGTTAAGCCCAGGAAGGCTGCACTTCTCTGCATTCTTTAGTCTTAGGTACCTGCCCCAAGCTCCACGCTGGGGCCACCAGCCAACGCTGAAGGAAAATGGAGACTGAGGAGGCAGCTGAGCAGCCTTGGACACAGAGCTCAGGTCTTGTGCATTGCCTCGAGGCTCTGGATGGGGCTCTGGCCCAGAAGCAGAGCCAGAAAGCACTCCAGGAAGAGGGTGAGGAGGCCAGACCTAGGCCTCCACAAAGGGTGGCTGCAGGCCATGTGGAGGCTGGAACAGCACCAAGCAGCTCTTGAGGGCACCACGCAGCTGGCCTCCGCAGCCACATGGCAGGACGGCAAGCCAGGCGGCCCTGCGGCCCATGAGCAAGAGCTTTGAGGTAGGACTGTTGGATCCGCATAGCCCGGCAGTGGGTACTCAGGAGGCAGGCGCAGGGTCTGAACACAAAGGCAGATGAGAAACCACAGTTGGTGCCGGTGTATGGGCCCCAAGAAAATCTGATCCAGCAAGTGGACAAGTCAATCTTCATGTCAAAATAAAACGCTTGACAAGAGCCAGGTGACCACTAGGTGGGGCTGGCGAGGGCAGGAGACAGGGAAGAAGTGGAGATAGGTATTGTGGGTACAGGGCCCTGGAGCACACCCTGGCTCATGACTCACATGGGAGGGGACAAGGTGCAGACTAAGCCCTCTGACCTGGACTTCTTGGAGGCCCCTGTCACAGCAGAGCCACCTCTGCCTGCCATCAGGCCACTTCTGTTTCCATTACACTTCAACAATGGCAGTGGGGCGGGTCTCGAAGCAAAGGGTAGATGACCAGGCGGCCTTGCCAGGCCTCCAGCTGCTGTGCTTTCCAGTCCAAGTGGCCAGCTCAGAAGAGTCCCTTAGACACATTTCCAGTAACTTCTTGGGAAGCCAGTTCCAAAAAGAGCCACCACAGGGTGAAGACAGGTCGGTCATTAGAATTGCAGAGCCAAGAACTGAGTGAATGAAACCTCAGAGCACTGCTCACGTCTGTGTGTGTGCATCATGCGTGTGCGTGCCGTGCGTGTGCGTGCCATGTGTGCGGCATGTGTGAAGTGAGACAGAGCACAGCCAGTTGCTCAGGAGAGGCCGGGGGTTCTTTCCAGAGTCCGCAGCAGTTCAGTGAGAGGCAGAAATCAAGCGTTAAGGATCAGTTCCCTGTCAGTCAGTCCCAAATCAGGTCTGCAAAATTCTAGGACCAAATGCTAAAGAGCAACTTCTCCCAGAAGACGTGCGCACCTGCCAGTTCAGGACTCAGGCAGGAGTGGAGGCAGAGGGAGCCAGTGCTCAGGCCTGGACTGGCGCAGTGGCTCCCTGGCTCCTCTCAGGACACCAGTCTCAAAGCCAGCCTTCCTCTTTCCATTCAAAACCAGACAAATGTTGCAAACAGATGGCAGGAAACATACGCATGAACCCTGAAGGCCTCCCTTCTTGGAAAGTCCTGGTTGGAGAATCTCTAACGCTGAGTGGTTAAAGGTGAATCCCTGCCCTGTTGACCACTGACAGTGGCAGCCACCATGTGGCCTGCAGACCAATCCCATCCCCTGAAGAAGCTGGCTCCAGACTTTTTCGTTCCCAGCTGGCTGTGCCCAGGGCTTGCTTGTTGTGCCTGCTGAGCTATGTGAGCTTAGTGGGGACAGAGTGGCACTTGGTCTGCAGGTGTCTCAGCACAGTTGCTGGACAGCCGGAGTTGCCAGGCTAGTTGCCTGACAGCTTTGGCCGCCCCAGGTTGGTTGGTACTTCCAGTCCCGTGTGCAAGGTGACCTGGAAAAGAAGGGGTTGCTGAGAGGCTGCCATGGACGCAGGGTGCTGCCCCTGCACAGAGTCACAGGATGCTCTCTGCTTGCTGGAGGGCATCATGGGCAAAGCCCAGGGTGGCTCTGCCTGTGGGCTTTACTCATTGGGCCACTTGACATGCTGGTTAAGGTTCTGGTTGGCTTGGGCCTCTTTCCTCGCAGTAGGAGCCCTGCGGCTGGCTGACCACGCTCCCAGCATTGTTAGCAATGGTCATGCTGCTGAGCAGGCAACTGGTTCTCACGGCTGGGCACTCGTGCCCGCCATCTTCCTGCTGCCCTCTTTCCTTCCCTGTCTCCTGGGGCTGTCCTGTCCCCCACCTTCGTAGACTAGCAGCCCACCTCACAGCCCACCTCAAGGCCCTTCTTAAACTGCAATGGCCTCAACCTTGTGCAGGCTTAGCAGGCTCAAGGCAGATCTGCCCCGCCCAGCCAGAGGACTCTGCTAGAGGCTAAGGATGGCAGCCAGTCCTCGCGTCACAGTTCTCTCCCCCTTGCCCATCCTCTGTTTTTCGTGGCACCTCTGTCCCAGGCCTCAACACCATTGGCACCTGCCCAGGCCTTGAGCCCAGCTCCTCCACACACTGCCACCATGGAGCCCTGCTCATTCCAAGTGAACACCTCACAGTGCATCCTGGCAGAGGACAGCTTCCAGGAGGCTCTAGTCTACTTGGCTCAAGTGTGTGGCAGTGGCTGGTGGATGAGCAGCAGGGAGCCAGCCGCCCAGCTAGTCAGGGCCTGGAGAGGCGTGAGGTACCTGTACGTTGCGGTTGAGGCTGAGGGCTGGCATGAAGACTCCGTCCACGTGGCTGAAGGCCGTGGGGCCCTGCTGCTGCCCATTGATGAAGAAGGTCAGGGTGTGCTTATTCAGGTCCAGCAGCACGCCCACTGTGGCCCCCTTGCACACTCCGCCTTCCGTCCTGAGGAGAGAAGTCCCAGGAAGACTTATTGCCTGGCTGCCCCAGGGTGCTGTCAAGAGCTTGGAATGACAAGTGAACAGGAAGCCCCCACACAGGAAAGTAGGGAAGAGCCTGGACACACTGAGCAGCAGTTACAGGAGAACCCAAGGCCATGCGGCCAGGGACAACAGGACAGCCCCACCTCAAACTCAATACCTAGGGGCGGGGAGTGTTCATGCTGGTTGGGAGCCTCCTCTGGCAGTGCTTGTACCCCATGAACTGGCCACACAACAGAGTCTACCCTGGGGCAAAGACTGCTCAACCCCTTCTTTCCAAAAGATCTGAGACCTGTGCCCCAGGGAACTAAGGTTTCGCCAGGTGGGTTCCATCTGAAACTGGATGTGGGGTGGGTACTGCCAAGGAAAAGAATTCACTTGGTCCCCCTTTCTTCCTAGCCCAGTGAGGCTGCTGGCCCTGATGGACGTGCAGATGCCCAGCCTGCAGAAAGACCCCACCCTCCAGCTGTCTTCCCCAGAACCACCCTAGGGACTCTAGAAGAGCAGCATGTGGCAGGGGCAGGCAATGAGTAGTGAATCAAGCACTTTGGTCCTCATCCTGCAGTGGCAGGGACAGCCAGGGACTATGTCAGCAGCTCTGTGCTTGACAGAGTTGATGAATTGCATTTTGGGCTGGAGAGAAGCATCGAGTGCCCTCTGGGTGGGGAGGGATTTTAAGTGAGGAATGCTCCTAAGGTCCTGGCCAACCTCGCCCTGTCCCTCTGGGCTGAGGCTATCCCTCCCTTTAGCTACAGGCAGCTGGACAGCGACCTGAGCAATGAGAAGGTCCGGGAGGACCTGGCTAATCAGGAGGGTGTTCCTCCAGAGCCAGGTTTCCTGGAGGGCTGGGCTCAGGGGCGGGGCCCTATCCCATACCCAGGAGGAGGGAACTACAACTGGGCTGTGGGTGCTCTTACCGACTCCCCAGTGCCGTGGTGAGGGCAGCAGGCCTCCTCTGGGAAGGCGCTCACCTGCACCTGCTCCAAACCCACGGTGTGGGGGTGGGGTGTAAAGAGGTGATTCCCCTGTGCTCTCTTCTGGTCCCCGTTTCTTAGAGATCCCACTGCCGAGGCACCCAAGGGCTGGCAAAGGTAGCGAAAGACCAAGAAGGCTGTCCGCCCCTGGCAGGGGTGTGCCCATACCTCCCTGAGAAGGGGCTGGGATCCTCGGTTCAGTCCCTGTGGCTGGGCCAGTGTCTGTGAAATGGCAATGCTAACTACTTCATAGGGTTAAAGGAGGTTGTCACTCCCATAGGCAACTGTCTCTGGGTGCTTGTTTGGCTTAAGCAAGAAGCAATAGGGCTGGTGAGTTTGGACCTGGCCCCACTGTGGGCCAGGGGTGGAGGGAGTGGGGGCAGCACACAGAGGGACAGAGCTTCCCAAGGTTTGGAGCCAAGGGCACTACCAGTGAAAAGGTGGTGGGCAGCAGGCGGTTCTGAGCACCCTCAGACCAGTTCCTGTCCAGACCAGACCTGGCTTCCCTGACTTCAGTTGGGTCCTCCCAGGTGAAGAAGGTGCCCAGGGGCTGTTTGCAGGAGCTGGTGGGCCCAGAGCACGCTGGAGCTGGGCCCAGTGAGTCAGCTCCCTGAAGCTCCTCATCCCTTGGGGCAGTAATAGGGTCCCGCCAGGAATGGCAGTGATGTGTGCCTCCTCTGCAAAGCCCCATGGAACACAGGCTTGACTGGATGACTTTGCAGTGGAGTGAAACCAGAAAGAAAGCCACCCCACGGCTGCCTGCTGGGCAGGTGTGGCTCCCATCACTGTCACCTGCTCTCATTGGGGTTGCAGGAAGTAGTCACTTCTCCCTGATCCTTATCAGACCACCAGGACCTGAAGACCCACGTGCATGTCCAGGGAGGGCGGCAGGTCACGCACCTGTTGGTGTGAGAGTTGCAGTGCATGAACCAGCTGCGGTGGTTGTCCACATACATGGCCCAGGCCCTGTCGTCCTTGCCCAGCATCATGTCTTTGGCCACACTGGCCCTGGCCACACCAAAGGCAGGGTCTGGGTGGTTGTCATAGCGGTCCACGTGCAGCTCCCAATAGTGCGCACCCTTGGAGAAGGCGGCTGTGCCCAGCACTACCCGGTCATCGTAGCTGCTGCAGGTGGCTGTCTGGTTGTCATTGGATAAAATGATGTCCCGGTGCCCAGAATTGGGGTCAAATGTGAACCAGGCCACTGGAAAGGAAGAAGGCAAGAGAAGAAGGGTCAGGCGATGGAATTTACTGGCAGCCTCTAATGTGCTCAGAGACAGACTCACCAATCCCCAGCCACATCCGGCGGTCTCTGCATGGGAAACACACACACACTTCCTGCCCTGTGTTCTCCAGGTGCCTGTCCCTCAGCCTCGCCAAGAAACAGACAATCAGGCTTCTAGTCCCAACCTGGGGCACCTCAGGGAGTCCTGGTTCCCAGTACCTCCCATATACTTCAGAGATGCTAGGAGTGAAAGAGGAAGTCCACAGAATACCCAGCTTATGGGGCCCAGGTCACAAGGCTCCATCCTCTGCAGCCCACGGGTGGCACCCTCCTGCCCCCAAGCCCCAGGTCTTGAGGAGGCACACACAGCAGGAAAGGATGGCCCCTCCCCAGAGGTAGTGCTCACCATCGGATGTCTGCAGGACAACGGTTTTACTGTAGGGCCCGAGGCCAGCAGTGCTGAAGGCCTTGACTCTGGCGTTGTAGGTGCTGTTGAAGTGCAGCCCGTCAATGGTGCACAGGGTCTCCTTGCCCACGTACACTTCCTGAGTAAGGAGGACCACTCTTTAGGCCCTCAGGCATTCGGAAAAGCCCTCAGCAGATGGTTCTCAGGCACGTGGGGCCACTAAAAGTGCTTTAGCCCCAACAGAAGTTACTCATTTTGTTTATTTGTGCAGCAATAGGATTGAACCCAGGGGCACTCTACCACTGAGCTGCACCCCAGCCCTTTTATTTTTTATTTTGAGACAGGGTCTTGCTAAGTTGCCCAGGCTGGCCTCGAACTTGCGATCCTCTTTCCTCAGCCTCCTGAGTTGCTGGGATTGCAGATGTGGCCACCATGCCCAGCCCCAAAAAGAAGTTCTTGAATAAGGGAAATTACAACTTCTTGTGGCCTGGTCCCAGAACTTGTCCAAACTGGGAGGAAACATCTTCCTCCTGGTCACTGTGCCTGCAGGCTGCAAGGCATGTGGGGGTCCCAGGGAGGCGGGTCTGCAGGTCTTCAGCTAGCTAGGACACTGCCCAAGGACGTCCTGTCTCTGCCAAGGTGACCCTGTCAAAAGACTCTGAAGCTCTAAGGGACTCTGGCTCCCACATCCCCTCCTACCCCAGAGATTGGCACCTTCTGCTCCTGGGCCCCTGGGAGATGCTGTTTTCCAAGAGGATGAGACCCTCTGAGTCAGACCCAAGTATCTTTCCTAGGGTGTACTTTCTTTCCCATTCACTTCCAAGTTATGCTGGTCCTATTGTCCCTGGTCGCACGGCCTCAGGTTCTCCTATAACTCTGTACTGCTCACTGTGTCCAGGCTCCTTCCCTGCTTTCCTGTGTGGGGGGGTCCCTGTTTACTTGTCATCCAAGCTCTTGACAGTTACCTCTGTGCCAGGCATTGCTAAGGTCTTGTAAGTGTCACACAACATGGAAACATTGTTATTTTGTTTTTTACTCTGCACACAAGGAGACCTGGGGAAGGTTGGGAGCTGTCCCTGGATTGCAGCTAGTCCATTGAAGGGCCACCTTTCAAATGCAGGTCTGTCTCCGTTCAAAGCCACCCACCAGCTGCAGGGCCACTCCTCCTGAGCCTAAACCCTTGGGTCTGGCTTTCTCGGTGGCCATGACTCAAAGAAGAGGGATCACCTTTGCACTCTGTGGGGCCTCCTCTTCATGTCCACAGCCTTTTCTCTGTTCCCATACCTGCTGTCTGATGGGGGAGCACCACAGAGGGACCAAGGTGTGCACCCCCAACAGACCACCATCTCTGACTCACGCCCCCCTAGCCCATGCCCACCCACACTCAGCAATTCTCAAGGAACTGCATGGTTGTATTTCCACCACCCCCCCCCAAAAAAATGAAATGACAGGTACCTAAATCCCTTTAAGAGAAACTAAGGGAGCCCTGACCTTTGGTAAACTGCTCAGTGGGGGTGGTTCCCTGGGGAAGAACTGCAAGAAATCCAGTGGCTGCTGATCTAGTGGGCAGGAGGTGATGGAGAAAGTCCAGGGCTGTGCTCCCTGCATGCATGTGCACCTGGGCCTGGCCAAGTGGAAGCTCCAGGGACAGTCCTGCAGGGTTCTGACCTGGTGGGGTCAGGGGTGTCCTAGGGTTTCTGGGAAGAAGTTGCACTCAGGCTCACTAAGAGCCCTTATAGTCCCCAAGTCAGTCCACCTGGGGGCCATGAGTGCAGTATGTCACCCCAACCCAACAGCCATTTTTGATGTGTTTCTACACACCCAGCTCCTTGCCAGGTATTTGAGGCCTAGCAAGAGCTTCCTCCTCTAGAATGTGACCCCCCAAGACAAGCCTATCCCCTGAATGGCAATGACATGGATGAGATGAGGCAAGAGGAAGCCTGCCCTGCTGGGTCCTGGGTAGCACATGAGGCTGGTAAGGCCTGCACCCCAGCAGGGGAGACAAGAGGGAGGAGCCTGCAGGTGGTGCCATCCCTGGGCTCTGTCCCTCCCTCGTGCCTGTGCCAGTCATCCCTGTGTCCTCTATGATAGACGCTGCTGCCAGCGGGGGCCAGAGACAGCCTGCAGCAGGGAAGCCCAGTCTCCAATCCCAGCTGCCAGCTCTCCATCCTGTGGCCCCTCCTCAGGGTGGCCTCAGTTGCCCACTCACAGCCTCACATTAGGATGCCCCCCACGCCCAGCAGCAGGCCTCACCCGGAACTGCCCCCCGTCCCCGTCGTCCAGCTCCAGGATGTAGCCGTCCACAGGGCTGTGGGTGAAGGGCGGTGTCCTCCAGGCCAGGGTGACACTGTTGTTCCGAGTGCAGCACTTCTCCAGTTGCAGCAGGGGGACGGGTGGCACTGTGACGGGGCCACTGCGTTAGCGTAGCACCCCTGTCCTCATGCCCCAGCCCACCCCAGGAAACACCTGGGTTACCCCCAGGCCAAAGAGGGCTGGGGACAGGGAAGTGCAGGTCCTGTGTCATTCTTCACCCCACAGCATATCCTGATCTCAGAACTGGGGTTATGGCCTACCCCCAAGCCTGTCACCCGCCACCAAGAACCATGGCAGTAATGTTCAGGCCTGTGAGGAGCACTTGAGGTAGCTCAGCAGAGTCCACCTAGCATGGGCCTATGCGAGCCCTTTTGGCAGGGTGCAGAACTAGGCAAGAGTCAGCCTTACACCAGGGCGGGGAAGAGGGACACTACGGTTTACCTTCAGTGTCCCCCAAGGCTCATGTTCAAGGCTTGGTCCCCAGTGTTGTGCTGCTGGAAGATAGGGGAGCCCTTGGGAGTGGGGCCAGGGGAGGTCCTCCCTTCACTGGGAACTGATGCCACCTTGGAGGGGACCCAGCCCCTTCCTCTGTCTCTCCTTTGCTTCCTGGCCATGACATGAAAGCTTTTGCTCTCATGTCCTAGCTTCACCATGCTAGGACCCCTCGACACATATCACGGGACCATCTGACTTGGGACTAAAACCTCCCAGGCTGTGAGCCAAGTGGACCTTTGCTCCAGGCCAGTCACCTCAGGCATTGTGCTGTGATGGAGCACTGACTAACACAAGTGCAGAGATGCCTGCAACCATCAACCAGAAGCTTTCCAAACCTGGACAGGGCCCGGGACAGAGGAGCAACCTTGGATGATGGATGCCACTCCCTGGAATTAGGAACGCAAACTGGGTGTGCCCTGAGCTCTATTGAACTAAGAGGGGACAACGTCGTAGGTTCTAGCTCTCTTTGGGCTCAAGAGATTTTAGAAATTGATAGAATCCACTCTGACATTTTCAAAAAGGAAAATAGACAAGATTGATATTTCAATTTGACTCCAAGAATGGGGTCACTATTTTCCAGATGTTGGCTGAAGGTCCAGCTGGTTGAAATCCCCTGATTTTAGGTGTGCTTTCAGTGGCCATGCACAGCCTGACCCCCACCCATGGGTCCCTCCCCATGCCCTCAGTGCAGTCTCTACTCCCCATGACTCCCTGTTGCAGGAGCAGCATGAGGATACGGCCAAGCCTCCTCCCGTGGTGTGCCCATTTTGGGGTAGCTGCAGCTTCCCCATTCTGCCCGGCCCTTCTGCTCCTTGGCACTGCATCTCATTCACACCCAGGGCAGGTGGCTTGGGAGGGTGGCATTTCCCGACCTCATGGATGTGCAAACTGTGGGAGCGAGCCTGGGGTATCAAGAGTCCCGCTTCTCCACACTCTGAAGGTCAGGCCTGCCTGGGTTCTCAGATCCTGCAGGTGCCCTCGCTTCCTCTCTCGGCACACCTGCAGGGCAGGACTCCTTCTGGCTGTCCCTTGCTGCCTTTGCGCCTGCCAAGTTGTATAGACTTTACCCCACCTTAACCGTGCACCCCCTTGGTTCCTGCCATCTTCTCCTGCTCCCTCTGCTCTTTTTTAAATTTATTTTTTAGTTGTAGATGGACACAATACCTTTATTTATTTTTATATGGTGCTGAGGATGGAACCCAGTGCCTCACCTATGTGAGGCGAGTGCTCTACTGCTGAGCCCCAGCCCCAGCCCCAGCCCCTCTTTCTATTCTTGCCTTGACCTTCCTGCTCTTCTGGAGACACAGGAAACTTACCTCTGCCTGCGAAGCCCCAGCGCCCGCTCTCAGCTCTCACTAGACTGTCCCTCCCTTCTCCTCCCCTTGAGAAACAGCCCCCCTGACCGCTGCCCACTCTGCCTCGAGCTGGCACCAGCTGCCACTGCCAGGCCTCACATCTCTCATTGTCTGCGCACTGTCCCCTTCCTTCTCTAGAAGAGCAGCCCAGTCTTTGGAGGGAGTTGTTCACCACTGCACACAGGACACCTGCCACAGCCTGGCACATGGTGGACACTCCATGGGTCATTGTGAGTGAACACAAGAGGAAGCTCAGGCTCAGACAGAGGACCCACCCCACCCAGCTCCACAGTCAGGCCCACCACCTGGTGACCCTGCCCTGCCACTCTGCCTGTGGCAGAGAGCATCATGGGCTCCCAGCACCAAGCTGCCCCTCAGACCACATGCCTCTTTGGGAAGAAGCACTGGCTGAACGAGGGCCAACCGTGGCTCACCCCTACATTTCATTTGAATGAAGTCCAGCTGGTGGATGGCCTGCAGCAGTGGCTCGCTGTCCAGGGTCAGGTCAAACTCCGCAGACACTTTCGGCTCCAGGGCACCTTTGACCCACTGCTCCTGGGACAACTGCACGCGCTTGATCAGAGCATCGGAGATCTTGAAGGGGAGCACAAGGTCGAGTGTTGGGTTTGTAGAAAACAGCGAAGGGTGAAGGACGGGAGCCAGGGGCTTGGTCTCTGTGGGCTCAGGGATGGGAAGGGGCTGTGCTGAGCACATGTCCTCGAGCCAGGGCGAGATGAAGCCACCCCTACTGCACAGTGCTGGCTGGGTAAAGACTCACTGTCTTGTTCGAATTGTGATTCAACAGTGTGATGGTGACAAAAGTAAAGAAGCACTAGATATTTAGAGAAATTGGGTCAAACCCTTTCATGAAGTAAAGATGCTTTTCAAAAAATATGCAAAACCACGCTTGATTACATCTGCTTTGCCAGCTCTGGTACATTGCCAAGGGAAACACTAGTCGTCTGTCCCAGGGTGTGAAGAAAGTGTGCCCCAGTCCTCTGAGCACAGAAGCCCACTCCCCCCAGTGCATCTCTTCTGATCATTCTGTGGCTTTTGTAGCAAACTCCGGCTGAATCGCACCCACAGCTCTTCCCTGGCTGGGAAGTTCTGCTCATCAGATGTCTGCACACCTGCTGCAGAGCCAGGGCTCCATGCACACTTCTTTGGGAATTACCAAGAGGATTCATCATTTTCCCCAGACAGAGGCTGAATCACTGCTGTGTTCCCAAGAGACATGCATGACAGAGCCAGCCTGAGGGCCATAGCAGTGACCCCAAGAGGGATGAACTAGCTGGTCATTGACCAGGCCTGCAGGACTGCACCCTGAGGGGAAGCTGTGTGGACTCTACCTGGCTTCTCCCTGGACAGTCTCTCTGGCTGATCTGGCAGACTGCCCTTCCCATGCATGGGGAGGATGTTGACGGTTGGCATCTGGCCACTGGAGACCATGCTAACTCACCTCTCCTTCTATGGAGGCTGCAAAACTAGGGTCAGAGCTGCTGAGGGCCCTGGCTGAGGGCGAGCTGGACCTCTGCACGCCCGAGCACAGGGACTCCCCACAGTGCCGCGTTGTGGACGGGCCTTGCCTAACACCTGGGCTGGCCTGGGGCTGGCACTTGTGAGCGGGATGACACCCAGGGCCGTCCTGGTGTGGCCGACTCACCTGGAGGAACCCAGAGGGGTCGTTCTCCTTCATCACCTCCAGGCAGTACTCCATCAGCCCTGTGGACTGGCGCAGCTTCAGCGTGCAGTGGTTGATCTGGTCCCAAACCATCTGCAGCAGGGACTCCTCTCAGCAACTGCCTTCCCAGAGGAAGAGCAGCCAGGTCCCAAGAGTCAGCAAACCAGTGGGGAGGGGCCCTGGCCAGCCCACTCCTGCACTCTGCTCCGTCCTACTGGGGACTAGAGGGGCCACTTCCCTCAACAGACTCTGGAACGGAGCAGTGTGGAGAGAGGGCCTGGCCTGAGCTCCGCCTGTGTCTGTGGCCACCCCGGCCTTGTTCCACTGGCCAGCAGGCAGGGATGGCCCCAGGATGGCTGCATCACCAGACACGGGGCTTCCGCCAATACTCCCTCCTCCTCTCCTTGAAAGTAATGCTTCCTGCTTGGTTAGGAAACGCCCCCTGACACCACAGGAGGGCCGACGTGACAGCCCTCCTCAGTTCAGAGCGCAGAGGTACCTGCCAGGGGTGCAGTGGGGGGCGGGCTCGCTGGCCGTCCCCTGGCAGGGATGACAGTATACATCAGAGAGAACTGAAGAAAGGCACAGAGCCGGAGCCGGAGCCGGAGCCGGGGCAGAGCCCAGCCTTGCCATTGTGATGGGTTGCTCCCACTCTACAGATGAGGACAGGAGGTGGGAGGTGGTGGGAGGTGGGAGATGGTGGCTGCTGCTGCCTGCCCTGGCTTTGCAGGGAGCATGGGTGGTGACTGTCCCCTGAGCGCCACCCACCAGCTGCTCAGCCCCTCCTCACCACGTCCTTCCTTCCCTGGCCCCTCAACTAAGGTCCAGCACTGGGCAGGAGGGCATGAAAGGGACCCCAGGGTCAGCCCAGCTGCCTACCTTCAACTTGTGCTCCCTCTCTTTTGTCACCTTGGTGAGCAGCTTGGCCTTCTGCCGCGTCAGAGCCTCCACCAGAGCGTCACACTGAGCCACCAGGCAGGCCTCGTAGTCCAGCCCATTCTCCTGGGGAGACAGAGAGCTTGAGGGAAGGTGACCGAAAGCCCACGAGGGAAGCCTTGAGCCCCCTATGTTGCCCTACAGGAGAGGGTCCCAGTGCGCCAGGGCTGACCTGTGCATGCCTCACGCCTGGGGGTCGTCACCCTCACAGACCACTCCAGAGGCTCCTGCGCCTGGGGAACACTCTCCAGAGCCAGGCCCAGGCCGCCTCAGACACTGTGCCACCGCTAGTGTGTGCACGTCCCCTGCAGGAGGGGACTCAGCGCTATTTTTCCTACTTTCCAAAATTTCTATGACACATTCTTTGGCTTTTTATAATCAGAAAAAGGTGAAGCAAACAAGAAGCAATGTCCTCGCTCTAGGTCTGGCTCTGTCAGCCTGAAGGAAGGTCCTCAGACCTCGGTCAGTGTGGGTCCAGACCTCTGCTTCAGTCCCCCCGGTGTCATGGTGAAGTCCTAGGCCAGGACCTCGGAAGTGCCTGTGCCTGGGGACGGGGCCTTTAGGAGGCCATGGAGATCTAATGAAGTTATAAGGCAGGTCCCAATCCAACCTGACAGGGTCCTTACAAAAAAAGGTGAGCAGGACAGACACACAGAGGTCACCCAGGGACTCAGGAAGAAGAGAGCATCTGCAAGCTGAGGAGAGGCTTTAAGAGGGATCCACCTGTCATGGCCGTCACTTCCAGCCTTTCTGACAGAGAGTGCATCTGTCCTGTTCAAGCTTCCCTGTCTCTGGTGCTCTGTGATAGAGTCTGGATAAACTAATCCATCCTGTGTGTGTGAAAAACTAGGACATCATACTTCAGATGCCCCGAGGATGTCATCTGAGGTTAGCTTATTAGGGCATGGGTTTTGCTCTAGTTTGGACTGTAAGCATCCCCCAAAGGCCTGGTCCCCAACCTGTGGTGCTATTGGCAAGTGGTGGAGCCTTTGCAGGGAGGCCTGGTGGGCAGAGGTTAGGCTGCTGGGGACATGCCCCTGAAGGAACCTTTGGGACTTCAGCCCCTCCTCTCTCTGCTTCCCGGCCACCAGGAGGCCAGCAGCCTCCTCTGCCACTCGTTTCCACGTTCCCATGGAGGATTACTGGGCTACCACAGGCCCAGAGGCAGTGGAGTCCAGCAGTGCGGACAAAAACTGCTGAAACCACGAGCCTGAACAAGCCTCTCCTCCTCGTGAGCTGACTGTCTCAGGTGTCTATCATGGTGGCAGAAGGCTCACCAGTTCTCACGGGCTAGGAATTCAAGGGCCCTCAATCTCCTCTGCGCCAGCTGTGCAGATCTGTTACAGCTCGGCCCTGTGTGCACCTACCTGTGGGGACTCCCTCCCCTACACAGGGATCCCTGAAGCAAGACTGACTGAGCTTAGGATGCTTCTCAGGCTCAGTCGGGCACAGTGCAGGTGCTCAGTGAACACCTGGATTTATGTTTTGGTGCCTCAATTACATGGGACTGTTTGGGCACAGGGCACCACTGCCACAACCTGTATGGCCCAGTTGGATCACATCTCTCCAGCTCCCCAGCACGTGGCCTCTGCTTGCTTGCCTCCTATAAACTCCATCCCACGTCAGTGTCACGTGCATGTCAGCAGACAGTGGCAGGCAACATGCAGGGATGTGCAAGGACACACCAGCCCTCTGGTGTGGGGATGAGTGCCCATGGCAAGGCTTGCCCCTCCTTTTCCTACCTGGCAGGTGGGGACCTGTCCTTGCTGAGTGAACCAGAGCATGCTCACCTGGATCTGCTGCAGGATGTTCTTGAGCTGGACCAGAAACTCCTTCGCCTCCTTGGCCTTATCGGAAACCCCGTTTAAGGCCTGAGAGAGCTGGGCCTGGAAGAGACACGATATTGTAAAAGGAGGGGCCACATTTGTGCAAGGGCTGCAGGAGTCCCCTGTGCAGGCCGTCCTCCTCTATAAAGGGAGCATGACTGAAGCCTGGCCCAGAGTACATGGATTTTCCCGGAGCACCTAGAGAGCGTGGGTGGGCCTCTACCCTCCCTCTGACCCCGGCCTGGCAGAGGAAAGGACTTCTCACTAGCTGTGGAAGGTAACAGGCCTGTCTTGGGTGGACGCAGCCCAGGACAAGGGGACAAATGAGCCCGTGGCCTGGCCTAGGCCTGCTCTTCTGTGGCAGGTCTATCTCTCATCAGTTGATGCTATGACCATCCTGTACCCCAAGTCAACCTCCACACTCCCTGTTCCTGCACAGTCACCGTTCAACCTGTGGGCAAACCAGAGGGAGGAACAGAGAGAGGCCCGTGGCCCTAGAGGTGAATTGGGCCTATACTATTCTCCAGTAGTTTCCAGTGTCCGACCTTGAGCCCGATGTGAAGGGAGTGGCCAGCAGAGCCACAGAGGGGACTTCTGAGCCCAAGACCAGCTGTTGCAAAATAGGATATGTGGGAAGTGAGCTGTACCCTCATCTGAGGGACTCCATGGTGTGTGGAACAACAGCTCTCAGGCTGTGCTTGCCCTGGGTGACTCCATGATGTATAGAACAGCAGTCCCCAGGCTGTGCCTGCCCTGAGTGTCTCCATGGTGTGTAGAACAGCAGTCCTCAAGCTGCACCTTCCCTGGGTGACTCCATGGTGTGCAGAACAGCAGTCCTCAGGCTGCGCCTGCTCCAGTGACTCCATGGTGTGTAGAACAGCAGTCCTCAGGCTGTGCCTGCCCTGAGTGACTCCATGTTGTAGACCAGCAGTCCTCAGGCTGTACCTGCCCCTGTGACTCCATGGTGTTCAGAACAGCAGTCCTCAGGCTGTGCCTGCCCTGAGTGACTCCATGGTGTGTGGAACAGCAGTCCCCAGGCTGTGCCTGCCCTGGGTGACTCCATGGTGTGTGAAATGGCAGTTCTCAGGCTGTGCCTGCCCTGGTGACTCCTTGGTGTATGGAACAGCAGTTCTCAGGCTGTGCCTGCTCTAGGTGACTCCTTGGTGTGTGGAACAGCAGTCCTCAGGCTGTGCCTGTCCTGAGTGACTCCATGGTGTGTAGAAAAGCAGCTCTCTAGAGGCGCCTGCCCTGGATGACTCTATGGTGTGTAGAACAGCAGCTCTCAGACTGCGCCTGCCCTGAGTGATTCCATGTTGTACAGAACAGCAGTTCTCAAGCTGCACCTGCCCTGGTGATCCATGGTGCATGGAATAGCAGTTCTCAGGCTGTACTTGCCCTGGTGACTCCATGGTGTGTAGTAGAACAGAAGTTCTCAGGCTGTGCCTGCCCTGAGTGACTCCATGGTATGTAGAACAGCAGTTCTCAGGCTGCACCTGTCCTGGGTGACTCCATCGTGTGCAGAACAGTAGCACTCAGGTTGTGCCTTTTCCTGAGTGACTCCGTTTTGTGCAACAGGAATTTGCCCTGAGTCATTTCGAGTCGAGGTGCCAAGATAGAAGGACTCTACACTTTGTTTGAACAACCATCATCTGCCTGGCACCACCATAAGGCCTAAATTAACAGATAATTTACATATGCCAACCTATCAAACTAAATCAGGAACACCTGGACACATGGCCATCCCAAATCTCATCAGGAACACCAGACATGGGAGCTTATCAAACTCACCAGACAGAACCTGCTTAACGCAAGGCCCATAAAAGGAGGAGCCCTCTGAGGGTGGACACGGTGGCACTGTACCCTGTCACCTGGTCACTCCTCACTAGCCTTGCCCAGGAGAATCGCCACAGCAGTGAATCTCCAGTTCTGTTCTTGGACTTTAGCAGCATTTTTATCCTGGCCCCTCCAAGGGTACACCTCTATCTGACACTTCAAACTCATGCTCTGAAACAAACTGGCATCCACCAGGGTCCATTGCCTGGGCAACTCTGTGCAAAGAGTTCCTTGACCCTTATCTGACTTCCGCCTTGACCCTTCTGCTCTGTGTCCATATCCCTCTCCCTGTGCTGCTGGCCCAGCGCCCTCTGACCCTGAAGCTGCCTTACCCTTTCTTAGTCTTTCTGTTTCTTATATGCAAATTTTATGAAGTGTGGTGTGTGCCTTGAGTGTTTCAGATATTAGAAATGAAGAGTGAAATGGAAGGAAAGGACTTGTGGGTGTCTGACCTCTGTCACGTGACCCACCGGCATTCAGTGAATCACAACAACTGCAAGTGTGTAGCCTGTGAATTTATTGTTACTCAATGAATCTGACATTGTAGAAAGACATAGGCGTGTCTTGTCTGTTCATGGTATGGTTTGCTCACAATGGGGGCATCTGCTGGCTGAGCTCAGGTCCATGGCGTCAGTGTCCTGCGTGTCCTGCGTCTCCTGCGTACACACACAGGCACACACACACACAATCCAATTTGTCTTTGAAACCTAGCCATGGATGAGGCAGATGACCTGGTTTTTAACTAGTCACATTTTCTAAATGTAAAGGCTGAGAGTGGAGCAGGGCAGTCCAGAGAGATCTGGCTGTCACAGCCATGACCCAGGACTGGAAGAGCCCCTGGCCACGCAGCACTATGTCTCTCTCTGTGGCATTAAAAAAGTCCAGGAATGTTACTCTTTAGACCGTAGCAGTGGTTCTCAGAGTGGGATCCCTGTTTGTGTCAGCATCACTGCGGACCTCAGTAGAAGGGCAGTCTCTGGCTCCTCCAGAGCTGCCCATCAGAAACCAGGTGGAGCCCAGGAGTCTGGGTTGACCCAGCCCTCCAAGAGCATCTGGAGCCTCACTGGCCTGGACAATGACAATTTCCAGCCTCAGCTGGAAATCTCTGATTAGCTGGGAGCAGGCCTAGGGCCATGCATGGAAGGCAAGGGAGGCTCTGCAGCTCTGGGTGAGGTTCAGGTGAGGGCTGGTCCGCTCCAGGGAGCCAGGAGCCTCCAAGCAAGGGTGGCCCCTCCAAGAAGCTTCTCCTACTCCACTGCTGTACCCCTGCACCCCTGCTCAGGCACCTCCCTCTGCGGCTCACTCTAGGGTACCCACTCTGCAAGTTTCAAGACAGCAAAGCTGTCAGCAGAACCTGGGGTGCTCCATGCCCACCCTCCACTGACGGCCACTGGCCACACTTGGCTCCTGAGTACCTGACGGGCAGCTAACATGACTGGGGAGCTGGATTTTTTTTTTTTATGTTTTAGTTGTAGTTGGACACAATACCTTTATTTTATTTATTTATTTTTATGTGGTGCTGAGAACCCAGGACCTTGCACATGCTAGGCAGCTCTACCACTGAGCCCAGCCCCAGACTGTGGGAGCTGGAATTTACATGCTATTAAGTTTAATATGGAAGGGGCACAGATCTTGACCCCCATCCTTGGAGGTCCAGGGCTCAGGATACTTGACCTTGGAAGGAGGCTCAGATGGCAGCATTGTCCACAGGCTTGCAGGCATCTTTCAAAGTGATTAGTTATCAGCATCCAGAGAGGGGCAGCAAGCCCCTCCCCAAGGCACCCACCCAGAGCATAGGCCCACCAAGGCCAGGCCCGTTCCCTTCTCAGCTATCTTTGTACCCCAGATGGTGCACCTTAGACAAGGATGCTTACACCTCCAGGTCAGGGCGCCAGCTCGCTGTGCTCTTCCAGGGTCCTACCCATGCCTTCCCATAGTGGCCATGCAGAGGCCTGGCTCCTTCCTCTCCTTGGGCTCCACCTCCAGACCTTGTCTGAACCTAAGGGCCTTCGAAGGTCCCACCTCTTCACATCAAGGGTCAGGGCTTCGACATGCAGGTCTGGGGCTCATACACATTCAGGCCTGTCGCCTCCCCCAGAGGCCACCTCCCCCTATCTCTAGGGCATCAACGGGGCAACTGTCTTTTGTCTTTGCACAGATGGGAGTTTAGGAAAAGTCCTTGGTTAAAGAAGAGCAGAATGGTTGGTAGACCCGAGGCCTGTGCTGAGCGGGGTAGGTCACAGCTGATCCGCCACCTCTGCCAGCGGGGAGAGAGGTCAGACCTATGCCAGGCACCAGCACAGCTGTGCTCCAGCCAGTGCCTGCCTCCCAGCAGCCCTGCCTCCCCAGCACCAGCTGACCTGCTTCCCACTTGGCAAGGAGACCATGACTTTGGGCAGTGCCTGGCTGAAAACAGAGCCATCTTGTGGCTCAGTGGCCTACAGACTCACCACCTGCTTCCCCTCTGCTGCCTCTGCATGGCCAGAGAGCCTCTCAGCACAGAGCCTCCCAGGGCCAGCCCTGTGCTCAGTCAGGTGAGGGCCTATCCCCAGGTTGGCAGGCCTTGGTGGGACCCAGGTGGGCAGGGACGGCTGGTGGCCATGGAAGTGTCCCCACAGAAACGCACTTGTCCTTCTTTCCACCCAGTTCCATGTGTGGGGGGAATGATGGTAAGTCACCTCTCCTGGCCTGGAAGAGGACTGTGGCAGTCACAATGGGTCCCCAGGAGCAAGCAGCCTGGGGTGGAGCCTTCAACCTGTCTCAGCCTTCAGGGCACCAGCTCCATCTTCCACAGGGACCACTGGGTATTGGCTGAGGACCCTGAACACTATTCCCAGTCCTCCCCTAGTGGTACGAAGACCTTGAGTCTGAGAGGTGAGGGGCTTGGCTTGCCCCAGTGGGCAGATCATAGCTAACTCTGGGAAAGAAAGGAAAGGCCCAGGTGGAAGACACCCTCTGATTCCTGGTTGAATGGTTGTAACTGAATAGCAAGGGGCAGTTAGTGGCTTCCTTGTCCTCGCGGGTGAGAATGCATCCCTAGGAGTCTGGTTTGGGACAGTTTCCTCCTGGGTCCAACCAATGCCTGTCTGCCCCACAGAGCATCTCCACCAGCAGCTCCCAGAGCAGTCTGGGTTCCTCCCAGGCAGGGTCCTGGGCCAGTGTACTTCAAACCCCGGCTTGAGAGTCCTGGGAAGCTCCTTGTTTCTGTTCTGCCCTCCTAAGGTTGG